CTCATTTTATAGCGAGAGAAACTGAGGACTAGAGGTGGCAGTATGCTGGTAAGCCAGGGAAGAAAAGAAAGGAAGAAGGGAGGGAGGGAGGAAGGGAGGGAGGGAGGGAGGGAGGGAGGAAGGAAGGAAAGAAAGAAAAAAAGAAAGAAAGAAAGGAAGAAGGGAAGGAGGGAGGAAGGAAGGGAGGAAGGAAGAAAGAACTACACATATGGACATATCAACAAATATTAGAAGCTAGAAGTAAGCAAGAAATACAACATCAGAAGATACTGTTAAAAACCACATGGGGTGGTAGTGCCCTATGGTGTGGCTGTGGAGGCTTTAGTTCAGTAAACAGATCTTTGGAACTTGTGAAGAGGACATCCAATTAGCTCAAGGCTTTGTCCACACAACTGACCACACTGCTGGAGCTGTTCCAAGCTTTGGACATCATCCTAGCCTTTTGAAAGGACATGAGCAACCCAACAGGATTGCTGTAATGTTGCTGGACCATTGTTTCCAACTCAGTTTTCATCATGTGCCCACTATGTGCCTAGCCCTGAGCACTGCAGGCATGTGGAGAACATACCAAGTGTTAGAATTCGAAACACTTACCAGCTGCTAGTGGATTGTAGAGTCTTTTCACCAGCCAGGGCTCTTTTCTGCTTTTTGTTTCATGGACCTCATGTTTGAAAAATGTTGGTTTATGAAACAAATTGTTTTAAGTAATAATATGTTTTCTCATTTTAAATCAAACTCAGGAGTATAATGAGGGGCAGGCTGACCAGGACTTTTGTCCCAGGTCATGAATGTTTAGAGTCACATAAATTTAAAATAATAATTTACAAAGCTCAGAAGCTAGCTGGCAGGAATGCAGAGTTAAAATAGAAAGCTGCCAGATGGCGCACACTGGTAATAACACCCATCTGTGAGCCGCAACATGAAATAAAAAGTTGATTTTAGGATTTTGTCGCATGCTGTTTGCACAGGTGCCAGAATTGCTAGTTATGGCTCCAACTACCAACCAAGGCTCTGGACCAGCATAACAGAGCCAATCTAGCCACACTAAGTTGACATTTTTCTCGCTCCCAGACAGAAACCAGGTATTTTAGTTAGGCAGCTTAGTCTTGGAGCAAATACAAGCTTTCATTTGATTTTCGAAGAACTGAAAAGAACTTGTAGGCTCCTGCGATATTGCTATAGATTCTGTGGCTTCTCTTAAATTTAGTTCTCACCGTATTATTAATCTATCAAAAGTATTCATTTACCAGTCTGCTTTCTCAGCCACTGGTCCAGTTGGGTACTAGCTAGCTGTTGACATATTAAAAAGCATGGAATAGCTGTTCAATAAATACTGGCCTGTATTGCTATCAATTCTGCAACTACTTGTTGAACTCACACTATTCACTGAACTAACCCAATCTCTCATTTTGCAGATGAGGAAACTGAGTCTCAGATAGGCCAGATAATTTGCATCAGAACCCATGTCTCGGATTGGTGGCCTGCTCACCACCCGATATCTGATATTGTGGCCTAAGTAAGTTGCTCCATTGTGAATAAAGGCTGGGTATTTTCTGTCAGTGCCCATCATCAGGGCAGACTGACAAGTGGGTGATGGTGGATAGTGGGAAGGATGGCAAATAACCAGTTCTCATATCAAGATTAAATTAAAAATTTAAGATACTAACACTACAATTCTATCAAGGTGTCTATTGCATCAGAAGTAAAGAAACAATAAAATCTCCTTCAGGAGTGAAGTTATAGTGTGATAATAGCTTGAGGGATCATGGAGTCTGAAAGGTAGTTACAAATATTACAAATCTTGTAACACTTGACTTCAGTATAAGTATGAATCTTCATGAGTTATACTGGGGATTAGAATGATTCTGAAAAATTGAATAAGAGAAGCAAAACAATTGTAGTAACTGTCCCCCCCTACCCCCAGGATTAAAATAAAACCAACTGAAGAAAAATGCAGCATCATAAATTAGAAAAAAATATACACAAAAGACTCCATCTCTCCAACTGAAGTTTAGAGTTAACCATTTTAATTAATTTAAGTGAGAATGGTATTTTTAATGGTGAAAAATGCAGTGAAGAAGGACAACATTTTAATTACTTTAGAGAGAACGGCACAATCTTTATGAGTTTAGAAAACAAAACAAAACAAAACACCACAATCTAGAAACACTGTGAATAATCTGCTCTAAATGGCCAGTAGTAGGAAACCTGTGTTCTCACAAAAGACATTTTCACAGCCTCCAGCAAGGAAGAAAGAGCCCTCTCCATTCTCCCTCTTT